ATCAACGGTCTTAATCTTTCATCATGATCCGACCTTACTTCTTATTATTTTATGGTGCATGACGCCTGCCATGTTGAAAAGACAGATTTACAACGTCCGTATCATTGGTCCTATGACGTCATACCTATGACGTCATACCAGCACTGAAAGTAGTTGGCCAAAGGTTGCGATTCGATGACAAATTTCAAACTTTATTCAACCTCGGCTTTTGACACAAATAGTATGAAAAGACTGTCAATGGAAAACAATCGTGATTGAGAAAAATTACTTCGAACTTTAAGAAGTGCATCTTTAATGCTCGACTCACCTGTAATTTTCTCCGGCAGCGCTCCGGTATATAATAACGACCGATAATTGTCGAGTATAATAATACACCACCTTGACAGTATTCCATGACACATTTGCGTATACCGTGGCACTCCATGCGGTACTAACGCTTCAGGGCACGGCAACGAGAAAAACTCACCGGCGCGCAGCGTTTACAGTCTACCGTGGCACACCGGCACAACATTCGCGACGGGCCCGCTCTCCTTTACAGAGTACACGCGGACATCCACCCGTATCATAACAAGTCGAAGGCTCCTTAAACAAACAAATAACCGACCGCATCGTACCCTGCAGACACATATTGCTAATTAATTGTTTCCACCGAAAGTATTTTGTTCCCCGTTCCCAGTCTTGCCTGGGAGCGACTTGAAACCATAGGTGGCCACATTTTCAGAAAAAAAATGCACAACAGTTAAGCAAACATGTTGGCAAACTTGAGTGATAATGACCTACCTTATTTTCACCGTATTGTTGACAGAAGTAGATAGGGTCTATGTTGATTCAACGGTCATCTTCCCTAAATTTGAGATTTCATAATTTATTTTCTGTGCAACTTAGCACCACTGTATAAAGATGTTGTACAAATAGCTCCTAACCTTAGGAAAGTTCAAGACAGGTTGTTTCACTTTTAGGAAAATTAAGCCTAATGGAATTCAGAAGTGAGACGGAAGATACCAACACATATAGACTAATTTCAACGGTAAGTTTGGAACAATATAACAGTAGCAGTTAAATATTATCAATTATTTAACAGAACTGATATTGTTTAGATAAGACTCCTGGAAATGTATTCACCTGTCTTATGAATGTTGGAGAAATCAAACGATTGAAAGAGAAAAGTCCGCACACAAACCTTGCTTCCAGAGATAGACAAGATATCGAAACTACAGTAACATCACCTGTGAGAATCATTGCACATTTCCGTAACGTCCTTTGTTCAAACAGCTCATGCGAGCGTTTTACTGAACCTAAGATCAAGTTTTTTCTTCTTACATTTTTGATTTGATGGACATCTCGCAACATGACGCGTTCTCTCGCACCCTCCCGGGCTGCCTGTCAATCATCTACCTGCAGGCGCATGCGCGTAAGGGCATGATCTCGGCATGATGGCGTGCCAGAATGCTATCGGAGAACCAACTCCCGATGACAAGGAAAAACATTTCCAGCGGTGCTTGGCGATGGATTCCGTGCGGGGCCAAAGCGGTGCTCACGCGGCGGGACCGCGGGACTGGGTGTAAGGACGGAGACTACAGTAACTCCCTGCGCTTGGACCGATTGACAAAGAAAACATCCACATAATCACGCGGACAGAGTTGGGCAAGGTTAAAAATATTGAACACAAAACATTTTTGCAGATGGGTTTCTCAAGGCACGCTAAGTGCGGTGCTAAGTTGAGATCTATATCCGAACTTGGTTCATTTTAGGTTTTCAGTCTAATCACAAGTTGGGCTTCAGACGCTGATTGGCTCATCAGTTGTGACATTATTCCATTGTTCAAAGACGTAGAGTAACAAAATCGTTTGTTTGGATTATGTGACGCAGCGGCAGAACCGCGTTGCCGACAGATTTGCAACTCATTACATGACGTCGCCTAATGTATGCTCTAATAATCATGGACAATTTCAATGAGCTGCTTACGTACCACAAAAACCACGCCAATCATAGAACATAATATTATACGTCAAGCAAAGAACAGGTTACCAGCGAGAAGTCGTTAAGTGTTTATACTGATTGTAATTGGTCCTCGGCTGTGTTCTCTGAGCATTTAATACAATGCACTGGCACTTTTGCAACTTTTCCATGAATTGGTTCCAGATCTATCTACCGCATAGCCCCTTCCACACATAGGTTGTATCACAATAACTCATGACTCCTGGTACGCCTCTTTAAATTCATCTTACGGATGTCCCATAATATGCCAAAGTGTCTAAACCTGTCCCAACCGTTTGGGATTGACGTTGAAATAGACGGTACCGCATACTGCGCCGACAAATTGGCCTGGCTTGGCCTCCCATCAGCCCTCGCGCCAAGACGCGCCGTGCCACCGCCGAGCGATCGATTGAAAAGAAACAGCCCAAGCAATGGCACAAGGGTTAAAGGTTAAACGGCCGCCAGATCGTTACCATTCCCTCCTCCAAGAAAGTACACCCAAAAGTACACTTTCCTGATGCTTTTCCGGGGGAAATTTTCTTTTTTTTGCATAGCTGCTGTAAATTTGCTGCAGACCCTGCTCCGAAATTATTCTACGGAGAATTATATTCTTTTCTGAACTGACATTTCCTTATACGTGTAGTACCCTTCAGATCCTATGGAGTAGCCGCTTGCACACAAACGATATGATATTCGCGCAGATTCGGCGATTAATTGTGCAAAACAAGACTGTGTCTTCACCTCCAGTTTTTGACCATTCCGCGGGCGCCTTCAAAAACATGGCAGCCAATTGACCAATGAACAGCTTAGGTCTAATTTCTTCTCGAAATGACGTCACAATTTGTAAAGACGACTCCGATTGAATGACGCGCGTGGTCGCATTAACTTTGCATGCTCGAATATATCAGACGTTCTCAGTGTGGCTCTGCACACGTGAAAGTCTGATGATCAGACTATTTTCAGTTTGTATTTATCCGGCTTCTTTTGGTATTGAAGAAGTCTTTTGTACCAGCCCTGAAAATGATATAACTTCTTGTAACGTCACATATAAACTGATTAAAAACGCACCTACAATGAACAAATATACAATGTTGTGTTATGTATTTTCTTACAATCGATACCGTGTGGGCTGAATAACAGTAGGCCTACAGACATATTGTAATGGCCGACAACCGTAAAAATTAAAGCCTATTGAGAAGCTCTCTGGGTGTCGTCACTTTTTGTCTGCCATAAATCGGCTACAGTTTCTAACAAAAGGAAAACCAAGGACGGAAAGGTGATAAAAAAAAATCATCAAAACTTCGACTCAAGAAATTCAATTTACGCGCTGCATCTGCAGGTTGACAAAAGCATCAAAAGAGCACTGGGGTATAACAGAGCAGCTAGGTATATGTGAAAGAACGGCTTTGATCTTTCCCGTAGAAAGGACGATGACTGGGAAAATTACTTTGGAAAACAAAAAGGTTGGAAGTATGTGTTTCCCAGGACAAGTTTCGGAAATCGTGCAAGGAATCGTGAACGATTTTTTATAATTAATGTTTTTAAGACAAGAGGGGACTCTTTAGCAAGATACCGCATTGGAAATTAAATCAAATTTCAACATGTCTTTGTTATTATTATTAAAAAATAGGTAGATCGCGGACTTGTCGTCAAAACATGTCAGAGCAGCCCGATCCTGTATGCTTTAGGTTCAGGCACTTTGTCTTCAACAACCACAGACTTTTAGGAACAACGTGGTCCCCTTTCAACTGACGTCAGGTAATTTTGAAATGTCGCCATCCATTTTTGTTAGTCGAGCTTCACTCCTTCCACAATTCCACATCCCCAATTCTTATTGACAACTTCGTGTATCGCAGCAAAAAAAATGTGTGTTCAAAAGTTATTCGGGTGATGGTAAATTAGACAGAATGCACAGAACGGGACATGTAAAATGAATGACCTCAACCACTATTCACATCAATGAGGTATTAAAAACTAAACTTTCCAAAGCGAAAGGTATGACCTTCCACCTTATCAGTACTGTCTTAAATAAAAAAGGAGGATATTTACTGAGCCATTTCATTTCTGAGAGGTACATGTATATGTTCTGGTCTTACAGAATGAGTCGATCCATGCTCCTGGTTCAGCAAATTCTCACCGCAGAACTGTTGTTCTACTATAATACATTTGATACCTGTTTTATCTCTTCGTTCTTTGGGAATTTCTTTTAAACCGATGTCTTCGCTTTGAGGCGCGCCACTGGCCCACCCGGTCAGTTACCAGTGAGCGAATTTCCCTTCGCTTATCTAAAATCGGCAACAGTTTTTCTGATCTATTGTGGAGATTTTGGAATCAGCGGCTACTGATTTCGGGTCGTAATTAGGTTCGTTTTAATAAAGGTGCCGAGGGGCGCCAAACAGGGGCTCATTATGACCCGCCGGCGCCAAGCCAAGGTGTATAGGGGGACGAGTTCTGGCGGATGGTCTTAACAACTCGGCGAGAAAATGATCATGGGGCTTTTCATGTGGCTGACAAAGAAGATGGCAGCTAAATTGCTTGATATTCAGTCCGTCCTATTGTGGACAGTCCGTTGATACGAAATCGAATTGACCATACACACAAACTGACGGATCACCCATGCAGTATGGGTAGACCATGAAGCTATATAGCTCCATGGGTAGACCATGCGTGGCACTTTAGAATGACACTATACACACGTGTGACAGACTGATCATGAGTTTACAGCGCACTGAGTACAGTTCCAACAAAAAGCAACCAAAAGGCTAACCAGAACACCACAAATAGCCGGTACTGGTGAGAGCTAAGCAACAACAACTACCAAAACAACCGTCTACCAGCAAACAAACAACGAAAAACCCCACACACAAGAAGGGAAAAGAATAAAATCAATTATAATCAAACATCCAGTCAAACAAACAGCAAACGGAGTACAATAAAATAACTATCAACAAACTACCAACAGATGATAAACAACCATACACAAACAAAATAGGAGAAACAAACATTTAACAAGCAAGAACATTTATAAACCTCGAAGAATAGCTCCAAACACAAACGAAGCTACAGGCACAGTTGAAATGACGATAAAATATTACTGACGACGAAGACTAGGACAAAGTCATCCGACGACAATCGTCACACATAGTAGTTATCGCCACATCTACATTTGTCGCAACCGAGTTCAAAAACTTAAAACTGTAGCACGTTATTGAGATTCCTTGTTTCTTTAATGAGAAATTTACATAAAACTTTCTTTTCAGCACTCTTATACAGTACATGAGATAGAATACCAGATAGATAACCACGTCCGCCACCTACAAAACAATCTCTAGTATATGAAACTAAAACCATTTCGATTTGTGCACCCCCTTCAAAATGCCACCAGTACAACGAAAATCACTTTTTTTTAAGAAAAAAAAATGTACAAAAAAGGGTTGTGCGGGTGAATTACAACGTGTGTATAATTTTTTTTTTCAAGAACAATTAGGTAATGAAATAAGATCACAATATGCTGTACTATATTACAATTAAATAACATTGCGAAAAGAGATTAAACTTCTGAAAGTATTTCTGTGACACGCGGAAAAAGGCACGGTCCTTTTATTATATAGGGGGGTGGGCTGTATTAACAATAATTTGCCTGGTCCTGATTTTAATGAGAAAAATTATGAGAAGGCAAAATTATTTGGAATTGTTTGGGGAAATAAGAGATGATTTAATACTTTCGAATGAAGGTAATTTTGGAGAAAAAAATGACGGAAAGCTAGGAATTTCAGACAGCATCTTAAGACCATTTGCCACAAACATGTTCGCAATGACTTTTTTTTTATATATATATATAGGCCTATTTGTTTATAAATTGCCGTTATCGGGTATATTCCTTGGGAATGAAATATACATTTATCCCTTTACAGAGTAAAGCTTATAGAAAAGTCTTAAACCTAGTAAAACCCAGCTGTTTAGGACCATTTGGATCGATCAAGCTATTTATGTTGATTTTGACGTGGAAACAAAACACAACCCTCATAACATTATTACTTCCACAAAACAGTCGTTAGATCTCATTAACTTCTTACTTATATACATACATGTACATTTACAATTCTGAAAGAATACAAACAATACAAAATTAGTTAGGTGGAGAGATTTTAAAATAATAAAAGGTATTTATGTGTTGGCGGGATATTTCGTTAATTAAACGATAAAACAACCCCTCCAAATTTGTTTTAGTTAGCTGAGAAATACCCTGTAAAGTTTAATGTCGTCTTCAGTAATGTGAAGACAACTGTACGTATTAATAAAGAAAACATCCCTGATTTTTTCAGTTTGTGATCGTCGTCTGCAATAGTGTTAACCTAACCTCGGTATCAGTTGGAGGTGTATAACAACATTTTATGAATGAGGGATGCATGTCTCCCCCTTCTATTGTCTTTGAATTCTAAACACTTGATTTCCATTAACGAAGTTTAAGTTGAAGCACGTACGAAAAGTAAATGCTCACTTAAAATATAAAAGTGTACAAAGAACAGACTCGAATTGGGGAACATGTCAGACAATTTCAACATAAGAAATATATATAGATATATATTTCATGCTGTGCACTGTGTAGGTTGTTCATTAAATGTTACATTGAATGTTACGATATTTACAGTGCAGATCATTAAATTGTGAATCTTCGCAAAATCATCGAGTGTGCGTCGTTACATTTCAGTGTTTTCTACATGCAAATAATTATTGTGAGAATTACTCGGATCATATTACCAATATAGTGCAACGTTATGTTCAATAATACCCTGTCACAGTTAATATACGTACAGTGCAGAATAGCAATAGAGGAAGCGTTTATCTGCACGAAAGTCGATTTTTAGCACAGACTGTGTAAAAGTAGATTGGTCAATTGGTACCAACACCATTAGGTTTTCAAACGCCCCGCCCTTCATACAACATTAGGAAGAATTCCATTTCATTTTGGTGGATAAGTCCATGTTAGCAGGTGCGAAGAAACGAGTTCGTACTCTGTCGATGCAATGGACTCTACATTTAAACGAAATAAGATGCGGACTGACATCAGCAAAAACCGGTACATTGTGCGGGTTTCTAGGTTGACAATAAGGAGAAATGCACGCCAACTACCTGAAAAGGAGAGCATTGGTATTTGGCAAAAGTGTGTCAGGGTTCGCGTCCATGTATCTAGGGGGAGGGGGGGGGTGCTAAGGGTAGTGATTAGGGTAGTGATTAGGCCTTCATCAATGCTGATGTCGTTCTAAAACATATTTTTTAATGAATCTGCACGTTTATCGGGTATTAGACATTGTCAAGGCAAGTTATTATTATTTTTTTGGATGTTAGGCTCACCGGGAACTGCAAGAAAGTGAGATAATTTGAAACTTAACTCAAGTTGAATGGCAATGAAAGTTGATAAGACATTTAGATAATTTAATTTTCCCCACAAACAAGTCTCTCAGTAGAGTCTTTTAATTTAACTTTTTTTTGGTAATTGTTAGTCGCAGGTTGCACCAACACCAAATGTTCCGTTTGGCCGACAATCCTTCCCACTATGGCCGTTGCTGAGATCACGCATGATTCCACTGAACGTGTAGTCTGCAGCAGTAGCAGGTCGCACCCCGAATGCTGTTGGTATGACGGAGGGAGGGTAGGGGTTCCAGAGGGTTAATCCCCGGGGGTAGGGAGGGTAAGCAAATCGCATCTGTGGGATGTTAGAAGCAACTACCGTGGGAGGAGCCTTATCAACGTTAGGCACCGGGATGGCCGTGGTTAGGGGAGAAAAGGCCGACTTCATACCGCCTGGGTTCAGGTGTTGACTGTTCGGTAGATAGGGTCTGTGGGTGATGTAAGCCCCATGAGAGTCCGTGGTGACGGTGGCTGTCGGTGGGAAATTGGCCGGTAAGGCTGCCGTGACTGGCGCTCCTGTGACCGGTAGAGATGTTGGCATGGACGTGGTGGACTGCTCGTCTCTCTGGTTGTTGAGAAGCTGCTCAATAGCCTGAGTGATGTCCCCATTACAGCCTTGTAGGACGAGTTGCAGCACACTACGTTTCTGAGCCGGGAATAATCGGCATAAGACATCGACTGGTGGCCTCTGAGGTCCCTTAGACCGACCGTGGAAACTCAGGATCTGGGCCGGGCTGAGCTGGTCTACGAACCCGCTACCGTTGTGCTCTCGGTAAGAGTCCCGGTCGGTGTAGTCCTCCCGTAACATACGACCGCTACCTTCAGAGCGGGGACTAGACGGCACGTCACCCCGCGGGCTAGGCGTGGGGGAGGTCAGCCTCATGGGTGGGGACACTCGTTCATCAACGTGTCTCTGTGATATTATGTCGGGGTCTGTCCTTGGGTGTGGCTCCACTGTCAGGTTCGGGGAGGCGGGGTTAGGAGGACTTAAAGCGGAGGCACAGCTTGCTGATGGACTGCTTGGTGCTCGAATAATCTCCAGCCTGGGCCTTTTAGATTCTACAAAAGAATAAGACAGAAAAAAACCCCTTTAATTTCGAAACTTTCTTCTAAGAATATTGCTTGTTCTCCACGGTTTTTTAGAGCAAGGATTACATTAAAAACAAAAAGTTCGGGCATCGTCCTTGGTGAATCAAATGCAAAAGTGCAAAATAAAAAAAAAATTCTCGGCAAAACCAAAGTAATAAACACGGCTATGATCAGATATTGATCGTTGTTTGCAATTTAGACTCGGATTCTTGTTTTTATGTCATCTTTGACTACTGCACGGCCGCCGTATGTGTAAACGCCTGAGTGACCGACAATCATAAAGGTGGAATCAACACCCGTCCGTGAAACAGGTGAAATCTCCCTACAGGCCAATAAACGCCAAGAAACCAGATGCGAACACAAAATATTAATAACTGATGATCTTAACACACATATGAACAAATCCATTAGGGCAGATTATACGCCTTTTAATACACCAAAAACCAGCTAATAACATTGCCTTGATTGCTTCAGATTCGACGCTGTACGATATGAACAAAATCACACACTTCAAAAAACGCCGCCATCGCCATTCCCCCGATCCAACCAAGGGTGAACAATTTTACCGATTTTTCTTGTTCTTTTTTTTTTTAATAATAGTGAAATAATTTTCCATCTTCGCACGGATAGTGTGAAGACACACTAAGCTCATTCCGCCGCATCCATTACTGAGAAAACAGAAACACGTCTCTAAACCAATTTGCCACCATCGTCATCAATTTGTTTTCCGGAAGATTTCACTCTAACTTTTCGGTGTCGGGTCTGATTTTTTTCTGTCTCTGTCTGAGATTTTAATGAAACAGATCATCATTTGCTCGGGCACATCAAACAATCGCCGCCAGTGGTGATGAAGAATGAACGAAGCGGAAGACATACACGCAACGGTTCCTGTTCTCTTTCCCTTGGATGCGCAAGAGAAAATGTCATAATTTTTGTTTCTTTCTTCGTTTCCCGCCTTTTTTGTGTGCCGTACCGCCATCAACGGAACGTCAGACGACGCGTAGAAATATATGTACACACGTTCAACGCCTCGCTGATCGGTTGAAAATTAGCGGAAATTATTGCCTTAAAAAAGAGCCGTGTTGCTGTGGCTGAGTGGAGACATTTACATCATAATTAGCAATTTATTAATTCTGCTGGCGAAGGAGTAAGGTGAAGAAGAAACAAAACACAGAGCGAGAGAAAAGGGGAGAAAACTGAATGTTGGTCAAATTAAATTTGCCGCGAGCAAAGTACGGGTTATCAGATCAACATCACAAGCTGAACCGCGCCGCGTTTGCGCCGCTGTCGTTCTGCACCGATCGTTTGTTCTCGCAACTCGGCATCATAACGACGGTATCAACATTGGGAAAAATAACCAAAAAAAAAAAAAAAAAAAAGAAGAAGAAGAAGAAGAAGAAACGAAAAGTGGAATATTGAAATAACGTTAAGACACAATGTACTGCATGATTTAATAAAGTCTACAGATCAGAACAAAGTCGGCATTTTCTTTTGCTTCAATAAAAAAAATGATTCAATTTTTTGGCGGATACAAGACTAGTCAAAAAGCGATTGTGACACTGTGTGTATTGTGAATAATTTTTCCGGCGTGATACACGATTTTCGTTTCCTTTATTTTGGGTTCCTGTGGATGTGAGACGTAGCAAGCTCCACGCGTTATCGGATGCAAGGGAGAGGGTAACCGCATTAGAAAAGTGTAAACAACTGGGTGCATTATTTTCTTTAACTCAACATGCATCAGCCGTTGATTGAACACAACCATCTGAAATGGTTCAGGGTTCGTTGCTTCGAGAAAGAAGAGTAAGCGAGGATTGCCTCGGTTTCCAAATAGCCTCCATTTCATGAGCAACAGGAATATTTCTTTTCCGTCAATTTGTCACTCTTTATAGTTATATTGAAACAAACCCCCCCCCCCGCACACCCAAAGAGAGAAAAGCCTGCTAAGGAGGTATTTGAACTAACGACTTCTTCCTAATTAATGCTTCAGATCACACTATCCACAAGAATCTTCTTAATATAAATTAGGTGTTTCAGCGGGCACACGAACCATAGAGTCATGATGCAAGTCTTACCTTACTGGCATCTAAAGAAAGCACGGGACGATACGAAAAAAGAGGTTATGTCTATTTTTGTCAAGGTCTTAGAACTCTGTCGCATTCCAGGGGCAACTTAGTGGCATCAATAGCAACTTGTCAATAGTGCCAAGTTTTCGGCAAACCCCCCTTCAATTATCCGACTGTTGCTAAATCCTCACCCTCTCCCAAAGGAAAAATATTAATAAACATCACAATAATACTAACATTACTTTCTTGTGTTGTTCTGAACCCAACCACGCATATTTCTGTGCAGTATAAACTAGGGGTATTATTGCGGCGGGGCCCACACGTTAGTCGATTAAGGTCCATTTCACGGACTGTCGAGCAAGCGAAGGGGCCGGGCTCATTTGGACTCAGATAGAGGGGGCTAATAACAGAAATCTCAGGCATCAAAGGGCCGCCTAAAGCCGGTACCTTCTGTCACCGCAGATCGGATACGAAGATAAGCTAGCATACAAGAGTTGTCTTGGGTGTTGGGCTTGGATGGGACGTCTGGGTTTGGTTTTAGTTCAGCCCAATCCGGCCCAGTCTCGATTGTTACTGAACAAGTTCATGCGACCCCTTCCTTATAGGCTCTAGCCTTCCATGTCAGACGAAGTACCCGGAGGTAATTCCAACTGCTTCTTACTGACACCATTTTCTTCCTTTTCCCCCTCTCCTCTTTTGTTTTGTTCTCTCGGGGCATTTTCCTCTATTTTGATCTTAATCCGTATTAAATTGTTTTGGTCGAGTCTGTAGGGGTAACTTTGTTGATCGTTGCAATTTTTTTCAGGGTTCAAATGGTGTACTTTTCCTACAAACTCTGTGATTCGGGCTTTCATGGAATTCTTTTCTGGCGCCTTTTTTTGTTTTAGATCCATATTTAAAAAATATTTTATTTTTGACAATTTGTGACCAGTCAATATTATAGGTAACCCTTACCTTAACTCTTCCACTCATTACACAAACATACATTAATAGTTTCTTTCTAAAGTGGTATACTTACATTGATTATTCAAGTTTAAAATAAGGGCCTACTCCAACTCGAAATAGATTAAATATAACAATGTCCTATGTGAGGATTTAAATGGACTGTAAAATGAGATTACGGCTGAAAATGTTTGCTTTAATCCGTTTAAGACCATGAATGTTCCTCTTCAATTTTTCATTTCGCTATAATTCATAATATTCGATTAGTAGTTTTCAAAGTTCCAAATCTTCTGATATTTAAAAGAAGTTACCGCAAGAAGGCATAATTCAACCACGTTCGATTTTTCATTTTCAGGAATACATGAGACATGCGAAAATCCTAATCATGAATAAAGAATAACATCCAAGGCAGAACACTTATTGAAGCCGAAAACACAAAAGCAATAACTTCAGGAGGCACTATGTTGCTGATTATTCGTTTTAATCGTCTTTTTTTCCCGGCTACTATGAAAGCATCAGTAAGGGACAAAAGGCAAAAAGGTGAAGAACTGTACTCAACGCTTGCGAATTTTTTTTCGAGTTTACGTTTTGTTTGCTTTGATTTTAAACTCAGCAAAACAAATATACATGTCATACTTTGCCCATTCTTGTTTGTTATTATTGTCAATCTGAACGATTGATGTTTCTTAGTTTTTTTGTTATTAGTGAATTTGTACCTGACAACAACGTCTTTTGGACCTCATTTCGGCAGTTGACAAACACATGTTTTTCAGGCTTAACTCTGTTTACGAACCCAAAGAAAATATCTCCGGCATAATGATTGTGATTACCGCACTTGGACAAGCAAGTGCCGTGGGGGTTTGTGAGTGGTTTGTAGCGGTGATGTGCGATGGGCCGTGCGCAGGGTGTATAGTCTGCACTCGGAACCCTGATCAGACACATGGCACAAGGTAGTGAGTTGGTTCATGTAAGTTGAGAGAGTCCGCGAACCAACACTGCAAATCCCTTCCGATTGGGAAGCCGATTTACAGGCGGACCGGGGCTGTTTTCCCACGCTGGCCAAATCCGCTCAAATCCGTCACTTCTGCGCCGGTTCTGAATGGAAACCGAGGCAGTATTTATGATTGGCCCGCCGGCCTGAAGCGTTTGCCAGCTCCACTACCCGATGTTGTTGGACCCTTGACAGAAAGTACGCTTGACTTTGCGGTATGCGACCAGGCTAATATGGGACGTGAACAATGAAGTAAAAAAAATCAAAATAGGAGATTAACCGATCTAAAGTACAGGCTGCTAGTCATGGCTTTCCGCAGAGTAACACAATATTTGAATCGAAACATGGAAGTATGAACCATGTCATAAAGTTTCTACATTAAAGATACATTTCCTGTGCTATTTAGGAGTTTCACCTCGAAAAATAGATTTTTTTTCAGCTGCAATATTTTCCTAAATATGAAAGTTATTCACTTTTGAAAGAGGCATCGACCAAAAAAGTCCACCGACGTTTAGTTATTGAATTATTTCTCTACAAACATCCAATGATTGTCTGCCAGACAGTTATAATTCGGCTCTCGCAAGGCGGGTCTTTTTTCTGATATAAATATAACGCTGGTGAATTCAATATGAATGTTCGGTCTTCATTCTCAATACACTCCTGACCGGTTACTTCATATAACTCTACATTATATGATTTAAAAATTAACAGAGGGGTACTGTAAATAAATGATATCATCAATGAAATAACATAATTGCATTAACGTCCTTGCCTGAAAGATGCGGCCTTATAATGAGCAAACAACTCGAGTCGTGCCAGCAGGTTTGAAAGAGAATTATTATTATTATTATATTATTCTGGTATATTAATACATTGTCTTTGTAGCTAGGGGCTAAATTGCCACAATGCGTACAATAAAAAAAACCCACAGAAATACAAATTTACTAAAACAGTTAGCATCATACATACAAAAT